AATATATGTAGCTCAGTGTTGAACTGTGGAGTCCTTGGTGCTCTCTGAGCTTGGTTGTTTGTTCGCAGATGTTTCATTACCCAACTAGGTAAGTAGTGCTAGTGAGTGTGGGGTTTTCTCCCTGTTTATATACAGTAGTTTGCCCTGCCAATGTTGGTGGAGGTGTGGTTTTCTCCTTGGTAGTTCCTTGATTAGAGTACTGTTTTCTGCTTGATTGTTTGTCCGGTATTAATCCCTGCTTATCTGGGTGTAGGCTGCTGGAGAGGGTTTGTTCTGGTCTTTTTATCTCTAAACTGCATTTACACATCATTCAAAAGAGACAATAAAAAAGCTAAGAAAGAAACAAAAGACCAGGTATATATGCAAACATGCAAGATGTAGTTCATTTGTTTATTTAGTTATTCGTTATCATTTAGGCACTCAGGATGGCATAATTATTATTATTATTTTCTGAAATTTGTACGCTGCCCAACTCCCAGTAACTCTGGGCAGTTCACAAGTAGATAGTACTCTCTGTGAGGGAGGGAGGTTGGACTGAGAGAGAATGACTGACATAAAGTCACCACTAAGCTCCTGTGGTTGAGGGTGGACTAGAACCTGAGTTTCCCCTTTTCTAGTCCAATACCATAAACGTAACCGCCATTCTGCTATGGTGGTCATATATTTGTGGATCTGTTTTCTAATAAATATTGTATCAGCTGTATTATGTTGGACCTAAATAAGTAACTTATCATATGCTTTACTGTACAGTAGGTAACTGCAAATGCCTTTTTCAGAAAGAAACCATATATTAACATCAGTGAAGCAGGTTGTAAGACTGGAATGATCTCTGCTTGAAGGTCAGACTAGATGCCTTTTTGCTTAGTATATAACAGTTATGACAGGAGAATAATATTGATTGAGACCAGTGGAGTGGAAGAGAGGATTTAACCTTTGCTCCCAACGCAGCCCTAATTTAAGTTGTGGTCTGTTCTTCCCTTGTTGACCATGAATGCAAATTATAGTCTCAGTGGAACAGCCAGCATGCTCCCAGGCCGAATCATCCCATAAGTGTGATTCACTAAACAAAAAGCAATAATGAAAACATGGGTTACGTGGTTATTGTGTTTGACTCTTAACCATTGGAGAATGCTTTGTGCTGTGCTAGATGGACCAATAATTTGATTAAAAGTAGGGTGTTCCATAATAACAATATTCAATTTCATCCAGAGGCAATGTTTGCAAAGAGAAAGTATAACTCTGTTTTTGTTTATTTTTATATTTATTAGGTAGGAATGCCAGAAAGAGTTACCCCAGCTATCTTTCAGATCTGCCTTTCATATACTCTTAGAGCCAAACTTGCTCCTAACTGGAACCAAGCTGGTCACTTGTTGATACAAGGTAATTATTTGGAACTTTGATAGTCAAAATGTTGCTCTAGTGTTATATACAGTGGTACCTCTAGTTACAAACTTAATCCGTTCCATGACTCTGGTTGCAACTCGAGTTGGTCTCA